AAGGGGAAATGAGTGAAAAGTAGCAAAGCATGAGAGACTGAGAAAAATGGAAAGATGAGGAGGGATAGATTGATGGAGGAAAGCAGGAAGGGAGCGTAGCTGAAAATGAACTTGCCCGCTGCTGGAGAGGCAATGGAGGGAGTGACAGCTGTATAGATTAGGGAGAAAAGAGGGAGAGGAGGGTGTGGTGGTGTTAGAAGGAGGGAGGGTAACTGTTCATGGGTATGGAGGCATGATGAGGAGAAAGATGTAGGAGAGAGAGAAAGGAAAGTATGAAACTAAGAGGGGAGGGAAAGATGGATGAGGAAGCAATGAGGAGAAGGACAAAGAAGATGCAGAACAGGAGGTACAGTAGCAAAAGGAGGTCATCTTTCAAAAAAATGATAATTCAGCTGTCTATGTCAGATGACTGGACTGTTTTGTATGAGTAAGTGTGTGTATCTTTTAGAATCCAAATGCACTGGCAAAACGATGATTGGGCAGACCCAATTTTGTGGACCATGCTGGCTGTTAATAATAATAATTATTTGGAATTAAAGCTGCTGTAAGGTGCATTTGTGCGTGTGGCTGGATGTGTGTATGTGTGTGTGTGTGTGTAGCTGCATGTCCGCCATTAATTAGCATCTGATCAGGTGTCATCATCAGTTAATTGACTGATAATTACATCATCGCTGTCCACCCAAACAGACCCCTGTAAGAGCAAGTGGAGGAGAAAGAATAGCAGACAAAGAGAGAGTGGGAAATGAGAGACTTGAATGAAGAAAGCGATAAATGGAGAAGAGCACACAGAGGAGGCAATGTGAGAAACTGATTTAGAGTGGGATAATATGATCGGTCCCCTTCTTTGTCCATTATCTTCTTTGTCCATTATTATCTACTTATCTTTTTTTCATTTGTACTCAAACTGCATTTTGTAGGTAAGCACTATTGGAATAATGTGTAGACTCCTAATTCTCTGTGTGTAGCAGTGATAGCTTTTCTGTCCAGTTTTAATCATTGAGTAGATAATAGCTCCACTGACTTAAGTTTGCATCACAGCTCATTACAGTCTCCAGTTCAGTCCACACTGTAGTTCAGCTCAGTTGGTGGACTTCAAGCATAGTTACAGTGACTGTAGACTGTCTTTACCAGAATACTGACTAATGTTTAGTCTTATAAAACAGTGAACATTTTCCTCAGCCCCACTGCTTCAGTGATGCAGTTAATCCTGTTCTGTGCATACCAACATAAGCTTCTGTGTCCATATACTGTATGTATATACATACATACACATTGTATAGCGTACCACATACTTTAGAGTATCATGTTTTCAGATACTCTGGCTGATTACAGCATATGATGTCCCATGTACTACTATTAGAATGATAAAGTTGTAATTTTCCCCCTATCAGGTGCCACCAAGTTAACACACATGCAGTTCTAAAAAGAGGCCTAATCAGCTAAAATGATTAGTCAGCTATGCAGAAAGCCTTGCAAATATCCGCAGTCAGAGCCTTTTTCATCAGACATTTTGATCTGTCACAGTAGGAAAAGCACAGGCATAAATAATAAAATTAATGTTGGCTGAATTCCATTTAGCTGCGTCTGTTTCAGGGCCCTGGTATTTTACAGTACATGCAGGCTCATTGTTATTAGTGGCTTAGTGGGACACTTGAATATAACGGAGCCATTGTTAATGTTATAAGTAACATCTGTGCATTTCCTTCTATGACATGTTACAGTGTCTGTTGTCGAAAAGGCCTATTACGATATATTTAAAATGGTCAATTAAAAATAAAAGCAATAAAAATAAATAGCAAAAAAAGCAAAAATACTAGAATCAATGACTGCCTCCAGTACTGTAGAAACCGTTGTCTGTACTAACACCACTGACTGCACTGGCAGTAATACTAGAAGAGTGAATTAGTGTTAAATATTTTTGGTTGTAAAGTCATACGATGGATGGATAAATTACTGGATTAAGTCCTGTCACTCATGGTTAAGCAACCTAGCCCTAAACCCACTTTTCAACTTTTCTTTCCCTCCTTGTTTTGTTTCTCCTATAGCTCTTATTGAGTGTTCTCTCCTTTTCTTTGTTTGTTTCTCCCTTCTTCATCCTGTCACCATCCCCTCTCCCTCCTCCTGCAGTATATCCACCTCCCTACTTCCTGCATCCGGCCATCTTCATTGTCTTTCATTTTCTTGCGCTGTCCTTTCATCCTTGCCTTCTCCCTCTCCCATTCCCTCAGAATCCTATATCCCCAGCTGCTGGTTCCCCCCCCCCCCCCCCGCAGAACAAAACACTATGACATTATAGGCAGTCACATTAGCACAGAGTTTATCATACAACACATATAAATACAACATTATCATGCGTGTGACGGGCCAAACACAGAGCTCAGCATTATTAAAGTTTTACTCTCCTCTGATCCTCACACACTCACTCATACAGCCTGCTCACATGCACATTCACTCATACTTAGAAACACACACTCTCAGTGGGGTACACCCTGTGAGGGGGCAGGCAGTGTTAGATAAACTGATCACACAGCTGGACAATATGCTCAAAGTGATTGTGTGTGTGTGAGAAAGAGAGCGAGAGATTGTGAGCAAGAAAGAGATGATGATGATGTGCAACAGCAGTCATACTAGAGATGATGGTGGATGGAAAGTGGAATATATTTTCTAGAATAAAGAAACATCTGAGACACAAGAAGTTCAAACGTGTGTGTTTGTTTGAATGTTTGTAACCTGTGTTTGATACAAGTAATTTGCTTTTGAAAATCACAGAAACCCTTTAAAGTCAGAGGTTAGATATAATGAGGAAAATATCCAAGTAATGGGATACTCCAAATTGATGTCTCAGTGTATTTCCCATAAGGCACAGTTGCATTTGGTATCAAGTGACTTCACTGCTGTGAATCTCAGAACATCTCTTTGGGCATTAGTGCTCTGTTCTAAACACTATGCTCCTATATTTGCTGACATATCTCATGTGGTTGTTTATTCAGTATATTTGTTTGTTAGCAATTAACTTTAGGGCATTCCAGTTCCCCAACCCTATATCAATACAACAAGTCATGACATAAGTAGTAAAATGCTGCATGTATTAGCCAATACATTTAATTAAAATGGGTTCCTCAGGCAGGTCCAGGCTTCTTCTGTCTTTTTCTTTTTTCTACCTGGCTTTGTTTGACTGCACTGGCGGGCAGGACAGGAGCGATTCTGGCCAAATAATACCTTCAAAATTATCACTAGTGGGGTACCTTTTCCAATAAGAAAAATTAAAATTTGGTATTTGCATTACAGTTAATAATACCATGTAAGTGCTTTTGTTGTTTCATTTAGCTTAACTGTTTGCTTGGGAGGACGGTTAGCTGGGTGCATAGTCTGGTGGCAGGCACTTATCAGCTACCCTCTAGTAACCCTAAATTTGACCTGTTCAGACATTAGACTGTTAGTTGGCTAGCAAGATGTTGTTTTGTTTGTTGTATCACTTTTTGCTACTCTTGTGTGTGACTGCAGGGCTCAGTTTGCTGCTCATGGCTAGTTAAATCATGCTACTGTAGGTTGGCTGGCTCAGTTTGTGACTTATTTCTCAATCTGTCAGTTGTGGACTGTACTATACCTAGCATTATGTAAGTGTGTATGACACGTTTTGACATGTCATAGTAGGAAAGGCACAGGTGTAAACAACAACACTCACAATGGCTGCATTCCATGTATACGAGCCATTTCCAGGATCATGGTATTGTGCATGTTTGCTGAATAGCATTGTTTAGTGGGACACTAAATGAAACTCAGCCATCTTTAATGCGTCAGTTGCACCGGTGCTTTTCCTACTATGTCATGTCAAAATATCTGCTACGAAAAAGGTCTGTATGTACTGCAATTTTGACTGGACTTTACTTGACTAGTGTTATTTTCATTATGTCCTACTTTAAACCACAAGTTACTTCTTTTAAAATCTCACATTGCTCACATTATTTGACAGCTTCTAAGTTACAAAATTAAAAGGCTGCCTATGAATGCATCAGTAATAATAATACCGTACTTAATTTACAACACTAACAGGAGTCATCCTGCTTCAGAAAAGGTGTTTGTATTGAATATATTTGACATGTTGGTAGCTTTTTGTTTCCTCTAGGGATTTCCTGTGAAAAATGTGTGGACTCACATTATGTATGTTATGGTGTACATTTATACTTGTAGTAAAGTAATTACATAAACACAATTTTTTTTTTTTTTTATCAGACATTGATGCCTTTCAAGCAAAAGTACTCATAATTTGTTAAAATGGTTTTATATAATCAATAACCGGGACTTTCAACAATATTCTGTAGTTTCCCTGAAGCACTTCTGTTCTTCTGTATTGTAGGACACACTTTAAATTTTACGTGTGCTTGCATGGTGACCTTTGGAATAAAAGCAACAATTGTTGCACATATGTGTGTTGTCTTAAACCAGATAATGGTACATTGTTTTACAAAAAGTTTAATCTAGTGCAGGGTGAGAGCGTTTGTTCACATGAGGAAAAGGGAGGCTCAGAGGATATTATACTGTAGCTCTCTTTAATCCAGCTAAGCATACAGTATGGATAATCCACTCCCTCTTATTTTTACTCACTTAGTCTTATTCCTATAGTTTGCCTGAGTAATACAACTATGTAATCTCACTAAGATAATTGTAATTCAGTCTTTCATTTCTTAGAATTCTTTCTTTTATGAATAGCATAACCCAGACAACATGCGGAGGAACTAAACAACATAAGTACACTTACACATGTTGTACTTGCCTGTTAGATGGGACTATATTAGTCATCAATATATTCTACAGAGAGCCTTCAGTGTCTGAAAAAGATGAAGGGCACTCTAACTGATGTGTCAAGAATTCAAGCACCCAGAGCCAACTGCCAAACTGTAGATAATTTAAAGACTGTAGCACCTTTAAGGAAGTAATGTTAGAACTGACTGACAGTTAACTTTTTTCTCCTCTTTCTCCTCCTCATCTCTCCACTCTAGGCTCCGACTACTCTCCCCCTCCCCCCCTGCCTCAGCTTCCTCACCCCAGCCTGACCAACGAGCACAGTGGCAGTGGTAGCCGTGGCAACCATGGTGGAGGAGGTGGTGGGCTTAACCATGGGGTGGGCGTGGTGGGCCTGGCTCCAGAGCACATTCCCACACCGGGGGCGGCTTTGAGCTGGCAGGCAGCCATCGATGCTGCACGGCAGGCAAAGATGATGGGCAATGCTGCGTCGGGTGGAGGGTCGGAGCTTGGGTCAGGAGGCGGCGGGCCCATCTCCACAGCCAGCTCCACACAAAGGAAGAGACAACACTATAGCTCTAAGCCCAAGAAGCAGACGACGACGACAGCAACAAGGCCGCCACGGGCCCTACTGTGTCTCACGCTCAAGAACCCCATCCGCAGGGCCTGCATCAGCATTGTGGAGTGGAAGTATCCTTTAATCAATCATGCACAGAGGTTTCATGTTAGACTGTTTGCGATGCAAGATCTTTCACTTTTAAGACAGTTTTTCACTTTTGTTGGACAGCCTGAAGGTATCCTGTCCACAACCTGTCCGTTTAAGCTCTTTGTCTTCTGAGTTATATGTTTTGCTCTAGTTTGTCCTTATTTAGAACTTACAGCATGGGGGACAAATCAGTCAGATGAGGACATCATCTTGTTTAAAATCTATACTGATGCATCTTAGAGTGAGCAGTCAATCCTGGAGGAATAACATGGAAAATGCAAACATTTGGGCAAAGGTACTACCTTAAATGAATTAAACAAAGGAATAAATCAGCAGAAATATATAACTCTTATAATCTTTACTGTTGCAATGTCATTGTAATGTAAAAAGCTTCTACTGTATCATGCCATCAAAATCTGACCTGATCATTCATTCAAGACTAAATACTGGGTGCAATACATTATTTTTCCTTTCCTTTTTTTAAAAGTGCTAAAACCAGAGAAATGCATATATTTTTCTGCATATCTCGTATATGTAGTGTCATACTGGATGTGCTGTAAACCCACTGCATCCCTCCAATGGGGCATTTGAATTATGGACTTACTTTAAAAGAAAACAAATTAATATCACCTAGATGCAGGTAAGAAAAATGGCAAGATGAAAGGATGTAAACAGGTTAAGAATGCATCACACTTTGTCTTTTGTTTAATATCCCTTTTCTTTCTTTATCAGCTTCTCTTCTCTCCTGTGTGAATGGTTTTTTCTCTCTCCACTCACTTGTTTTAATTCCTGCTCCCCTTCCTCTGTCTGTCCTTCCCCCTTTTTCTTTTTCTCCACTTTTTCATCTTACATTCTTTTTTCTGCTTTCTCTCAAGAGGATTAAACAAATTGTGTCTTTTTCATCCCTGCTTCACACCTCTCCCCAGTATACAGTGTCTCTTTTTGGGACACTAGCTCTGTCTCTCTGTATTCCTCCTCTCTCTCCCAGGTGCACCCATGCCCATATCCCTCCTTTACTACTTCTATCCAGACTCTCTCCCACCATTTATTATTCGGCTCTCACGCCCTCAGTCCATTCAAATCCCTTTATTTCTGTTGTTCCCCCACCTATTCTTCCTTTCTATTTTTCCTCTCCTCTGGAGTTTTTTTTCAAGCTGCTGAACATAATGACTTGTTTTTCCCTCTGGGTGAAGAGAGAGAGAGAAAGAGAAGAGGAGAGGGAAAGCAATGCTCAGTGTCATAGCCAAAGTGATCTGTAATAGGAAAAGGTCCTTATGAGCATCGACTCAAAAGCACAGTCACATATCATCCTGAGAGGAAGAGGAGGGTTCAGGGAAATGAGAAGGGCAGGGATATGAGCAGGACACAGATGTCACCAGGAGAGATAATGGAGTGGGGTAGTGGAGGAGGGAGGGATGGAGGGAGGTGTTAAGAAGAGGATGCAGAAGCTAAACAAGTAAAATGATGCGGGGAGTTAAATAGAGAATAAGAAGAGGAGAAGGTGGAGGCAGGATATGGAGGAGGATATGGGGCTTGTGAGGCGGGAGAAAATAGAGTGAATTGGCAACTTTGAAGTGTTTGTGTGTGTGTGTTGCATTAGGCAATTAAAAAATGAGTTAATATTATATTGTGATAATGAGCAAAAGTACTATAGAAAAATACTATTATAAAGCATATTGTTATAATTATGCACTATGGCACAGGCACATTATAGGCTTTTATATCTGCAGGTTGAAAACCTGCAGATATTAAAAATACTGAAAATATTTGGTTAAAAAACAAATATTGAATTTTTATTAATCAGGCTTAAAATGTAACTTATAATTGGGCCTTTACTGATTTACTTTCCAGCGCATATTGCATTTCAAAATAAATAAATAGATTTCAGCTCTTTGCTCCTCCAGCTGACATATTCTGATAGTATTAGGAATTATTATGTAAGTTTAAAAAAAAAATCTAGTGATAAACCATGGTACATTTTAAATCTTTGTGACATTATTATGAACCTGAACATTTATCAAAGAACTGATATATTACTGTTAGGTCCTATTCACTTCTGCATTTGTTTTGAATGTTTTGCTTAGTTTAATGTTAACATTCAGGGTCTTGAGTTTGTATTTTTTCATGCATATCTTTCAAACAGTAGATATGCTTTGTTAAAAACAACTCCAGATTTCCCATTTGAACAGCCCCACCTTTTTAAGGGTTTGGGATCTCCCTCTGTGCTGTAAAACTCCTGACAGTCTTCCATCTGTTCACTTTGTGTGTTTATAATTATAGGCAGTCATAATGTTGGTAGTGCAGCTTTAATTGCACTGTCCAGCTGGGGTAATGCTGAAAAAGTACAGAAAGTTTATAAAAAAAAAAAACTACATACATAAACCCTCAGGGTCGCTAGCACAATTTCACTCAGTGACTGATGAGCGTTTAGATCATTACCCACAATTCCCAGCATCATTCAATTAAACAGCTTTGAAGGGTGGGAAGGGAGGGGAGACAGTGACAGAGAGGGAAAGGCAGGGGAGATGAGTATAGGAAAAAAGACGTACATTAAAATGGGCTCTTAGGGAAAATGAAGAAAAAGTGAATAAAGTAAACAGGATGCGCTCTGTGTCACAAAAACAAACTGTCAATCATTCTGCCTGCATGTCCATCTAATCGTTTTACTTTGGGATGCCCTTCATAACTGCAGTGTGGGCCTGTTTAAATGTTTTGACCAACAGAGAGTGAGTTTGCATACTGAATTTGTAATGTGTATGTGTACAGTTATGCATTCATGTATTGTTTGTATTCTGTAGGCTTTAAGTGTGTGCATACTAATGTGTGAGAACTTCTGTCTGCAGAGATAGCAGATCCCAAATCTTCCTCTCCTCCTCCTCTGTTACCATGACAACAGCTACTGCGCTCAACAGGTCGATGGGGCCTGTCTGAATTCACACATCAAACACACACACTTAGATTAGGGAACACACATAAACACTTTTGAAGCGCGCACATGTACTTACAGATGATAAAGGACTGAAACACTCTCACTTGCTGTGTAATTATAGCATGTAAGCATTACCTGCACACTGCAAGGTCAGTGTGAGAAAGGAGGAGGGAGCAGGGGCAGGCGCCTGTCTAACTACCATGTTATCTACTGTATATGAAATCACACTAAGCGGTAGTTTAGAAAAGTGTCAAACACACATACATAGTCTGATTTCTGACAGCTTAGATACTGTATCAGGTCCCATGAGGAGTTATAGTATTTGTATACATTTTCAACTCAGTCAGAAAAATAGATACATATTCTCATTGAAGTGTTGAGCCTGCTTTCCCAGAAAATATCAGTATATCCCAGGTTTCTTATTTGAGTTTGTCTAGATAAGAGATTATCTGTTTTTTTTCTGAGCTGTATGTGGTTTTGTGAACCAGCTGCTGAATGTAGAGAATCTCAGAAAATAAGAGCATCCCAGTGTATGTAGATAAAATGTCATTGTGACAGTTTGTCTTGTTACAAAGTGTATACACTTAACATGTAGGCTGACATGATTCAACAGAACCTTCTGTCTGAGGCATTTTCTAATTTAACATATACATTCACCATTTTAATAAGCTGAGTTAAAACGTATATTTCAACTTGAATTCACTTATTGGGGTGCTGTTAAATTCACCCCAAAAAAGTAGCTTAGGGCAAATTGTTTATTACTAATATTACTTTCCTCCTTCTTTCCTTCTGTTAAAGATGGATATTGTTATGCTGATTAGTGAACATTATCAACAGACTTAGTTAGATTCTTCACAATTTCTGCCAAGTGTTTTGCTCTCAGTAGCACAGCAGACAGTAGATTTATTATCATGTTGATGGAAGCAGACCTCAAGGGGTTTTTTAAATTATGGGTCAGGAGCCCAGAATGAGTCACAGGCCTGTTTTTATGTTGGTCCCCGCATGTCTGGAGTGTGTTTTAATGAGCCCCCGGTACAAGGGTGAGTGATTATCTGTGATGCATTTTGCTTTCAGGCTGAATGATCTTGTGGCTGATAATTTTCAAGAGTCAATCCTTAACCCAAACATAAACAAAGTATTAGCCGTGCTATAAAAAGCTAACAAATTTATTTCTCCCACTTGCTCTTTCTCCTAAACAGTTGCTAAAGCTCTGAAATGAACAGCAGGTTTGCTTCTAGTGAGGTCACACACAGCAGAATAGATGTTTTGTTAAAACTGAGTTAAATCTTTGTATTAAACTAAAACTTTATTTATTTGTCAAAACAGTCCCATCACTCTTCTGCCATTCAAGAGTATTTGCGATTGTACTGGGTAATAATCTTTCCATCTGTACTAAGAAATAATGTGCTAATGTGGTTTTAGCTGACAACAAGGGCTTCCCATTTTGAGATGGTAAAGTCATTCAGTTTTAGGGATTTGAAAGCAAATCAGAGTTTTTGTTTATTTGTAAATGTAATATTAATGAGCTCCAGACTTAGGAGCTGCTGAGAAGTTTGTGTTTGTGTCTTTTAGTTTCATCTTAAATCTCCATGGTATACTCCACAACGTTATAGTGAAAACAGGTTTTTGCAGTGGTTTGTAAATGTATTAAAAATAAAAGACCCATTTATATAAGTATTCAGACCCTTCACTTAGTACTTGGTTAAAGCACATTTGGCAGCAATGGCAGCCTCAAGTCTTCTTGAGAATGAAGCTGAAAGCTTGGCACTTTTCTTTTAGAATTTTCTTCCATTATTCTTGGTAGAATTGTTCAAAGTCAGCCAGGCTGGATGGGGAGTGCTAGTGCACAGCCCTTTTCTGGTCTTTTTAGAGATGATCTGTTGTGTTCAGGACCACTCCTGTGTTTTCACAGTGCTTTGGGTCATTGTCTTGTTGAAATGTAAACCTTCTGTCCAGCCTGAGATCCTATATTTTGTCTGTATTTTTGTGAGGGGTTTTCTCCACACATACTGTTGGGAATTGTGGCCAAATAGTTCAGTCTTTTTTTCATCAGACCAGAGGATTTTTGCTTCTCATTATCTGAGAGTTCTTCAGGTGTCTTTTGGCAAACTCCCAGTGAGCTGGTAATGTGCCTTTTAGTGAGGAATGGCTTCCGCCTGGCCACTCTGCCTGATTGGTGAAGGCCTGATTGGTGGAGTGCTGTGCTTATGGTTGTCCTGTAAAGTTCTCCCATCTCCAGTAAGGAACTCTGGATCTCATTCATAGTGACCCTTGGGTTCTTGGTCACCTGCTGACCAAGGCCCTTCATCCCCTATTACTCAGTTTGGCTGGATGGCCAGATGTATGAAGACTATTGGTGGTTCAGAATCAGAATCAGAATCTGCTTTATTGGCCAGGTGTGTTGGACACACAAGGAATTTGACTCTGGTACATCGGCTCTCAATGGGCATGTACATATCACCATGCAAGGGGCAAGTAAACAGTAAACCAACATAAGGCTGTGTAGTATAACAAAATAAACAGTATTAACAAGCAACAAACAATGCAAAATAAACAGTATAAATAGGCATTAAACAATGCAGACAGACAATGGAATGGTCATTGTGAAATGAGATAAATAGGAATAAAGATAGAGTACTTAAAAACAGAGACCTGTACAGATCTGTATAATCTGTACAATGTATATTTACAGGTATTGCACTGGAGGAAGGTATTGCACTAAGGGTTATTTGTCCAGTCATAGTGTCGTGGGTCAAGTGTTCATCAGAGCGACAGCCCGGTGGAAGAGGCTGTCCTTGTGCCTGGTTGTCTTGGCATACAGTGACCTGTAACGCTGTCCAGAGGGGAGGAGTTCAAACAAGTGTGAAATGAACAGCAGGGCTGTTTCTAGTGTTGTATAGATAGAATATAGATGTTTTGTACAAGACTGTTAAAATTTTGTTAAATCTTTATATTATATTGAAACTTACTTTTTTTTGCCAAAACAGTTCCATTTGAGAATGATGGTGGCTATTGTACCCTTGAGCACTGTATCCTTACCCAGATCTGTGTCTTGAAACAGTCCTGTCTTGCCGGGCTGTGGACAGTTCTCTTGACCTCATGGCTTTGTTTTCACTCTGACATACACCATCAACTGTGAGACCTTATACAGACAGGTGTGTGCCTTTCCTAATTATACCTAATTACATCTAATGAATTAAATTAGGCACAGATGGACTCGAATCAAGCTGTAGATGCATGTCAAGGACATTGATGGGAGTAGGGTGCACCAGAGCTCATTTGCAAGGGTCTGAATATTTATGTAAATGGGATATTTCAGTCTTTTATTTTAATACATTTACAAAACACTCCAAAAAAGCAGTTTTCACTTTGTCATTTTGAAGCACAGTGTGTGGATTGACAGGAAAAAAATGTATCGCTTTAAAGATGAATCTGAAACAACAAATTGTGGAAAACTTGAAAGGGTCTGAAAACTTTTGATACTGACTGTAAATTTGAAGTAGCTATAAGCAGCATTACAGAGTCATTTTTATTAGCAGACTATTGAATTCATTCACCATGCCTTGCAGATATCCCGTGCTTCATATTCATTTTTCTGTAGTGTTGAAAAATTTCTTCAGATATCTATTAATTGTGATCAGTCCACAGTGGCAGACTTATAATATTTTATGTTTTTCCAAGGTATGTTATGGATGTATGATAATCCAATTGAACCGATGAATAGTGTTTTTTTTATTTATTGCATTTTGCCCTTTTCTCTCATTTTTGTCACCTTCTCAAGTACTTCTTGCTGCAAATTCTTTCTCTTAGTTTGGGTTGGATATAAACCTCTGTGCATCATGTCCAGTATTTCACAGCCATGGTGTTACTGTCCACTTTATTATTATTATTATTATGTATATTTGTCATTTATTTTATTTATTTATATATTTATTTTTAAGTTAAGTACAACTGTATTTTTTAATTTTAGTATACCGCAATTTTTTCATTCTCTGACCATGTACCCCAGTCGGTGTTTACCAGCTGCTATTGCACAACAACAAGTTTATGAGCCCTCGCTGGTTTCCCAGCTGCTAAAACTGACACTTCTGGTAGATTGGAAAGCAAAGTTAGATTGCAGTGCAGTAAATGATTAAACCTTTTTCCCAAGCATTCATGTTGTTATGCAGTATGCTTGAACATGAATGTCAGCTAAAAATATACATTTGTTTGTTTCTAGATTTGAGGTTTTGACATTGCTGTTTATATTATTCAACAAAGTCTGGAGTCTAGATTATTGTGACACGTAGCCAAGATGGAAGGAAGGAAGTTAGGGAGAAAGGAAGGAAGGAAAGAATGGAAGAAGAGAGTGGAGGGAGAGCAAAAAAAAAGGTGGGGGAAGGTGACAGCAGTGGCAGTTAGTAATTGTGTTGATGAAAACCAGACCTCCTCTATCTCTCCTTCACATTCTCTCCCTCCCTCACTCTCTCACCACTCTTCATTCTCTCTGCCTTTGTATCTCTTCTTCTGTCTCTGAGGCCAAAAATAATGAGGTCACTCCCCTCTCAAGGACCGTTCCAAATAAAAACCCTCTGTGTCTGTCCTCTCTCTCATTCCATCTCACTCTCCCTCTTTCTTTGTCCATATCCTGTCTTCCACGCGACAGGCATGCTCCTCGCCGCATCCATATTAGGCCATGCACTGTCTCTCTCGCCCCCCTGCACACACAAAGAGGCTCCTAAGTGACCCAATATGTCTTATTGTTAACAAAAAGCAAACTCGACAGCTTTGATCTCTATCATGGTGTACATTGGTTGTGCACTCTGCTGTGTGTGTATGCATACCACTGCCTCTGTAAGGATGTATTAGCTTGTTTGAAAAATACCCCTTGGTTAAAATGATGTGTGATTTAGGCAAAGTCTGTGATCTTTAGTCAAAAGTCTACATTATTCTAGTCTGCTTACCAGAGGTTTGCATGGATCATTGCAAACCTACCTGAACCTGATGTGTTTTAAAAAGGGAACCCACGGAACCTCAGACCTGTGGGTAATTAGACTGGAAATGAGATGCCACGACTAACTCAAACAAAGAGAGAGCTCCATCCAAGGAGCCAATATTTAAAACTGTTCATAAACCTTGCCTCAAAATAATTTTTTTAAATTCAGCAATCCATGATTATGATACATCACATGATCAAAGCTAAAAAAAAAATCAATTTAGATCCACTCTGGTATTAAATCTGATGTTACACAGACCTAAGACCAGCAGCAAAGACATGGGACCCAATTAGACTGAATGTGGACATTAGTTAGGAGGAACCAAGGAGACCTGTTATGATCTCTACTGTGTAAATATCTCTTCAGTTCACTGTGTTGTACTATGTACAGTATGTCCCTTAACCCTCTTCTCAGACCATTTGAGATCATCATCCTGATGACAATTTTCGCCAACTGTGTGGCCTTAGCTGTCTACATCCCCTTCCCTGAGGATGATTCAAATGCCACCAACTCTAACCTAGTGAGTAATCTATGACCTTTTAACTGCTTTACACTTATGCTTGCTTGTTGTTTCATTTATAATAAACATCTCGGCTCACTGGCTGTTTTGTCCAATCCCAGAAAACGTGGCTTCTGGGTTTTGGCGTTGTGGTCTGACACCTGAGTTTTTGTTGTGGATGTATTACTGTATCTTGACTCACATGTCGTTAGGTGTTTGAGTGATTATGAAAGATTTCGTTAGCAGATTTTTCTGGTAATTAGCATTTCTGAGCAGCATGTCATTTGCACATTTCCAGCTGAGTCCACTGTGTGTGTGTGTATGTGTGATTTGCTCCCATGTATTTAAAAGGCAGCAGTGGGAGAAGCTTTTTGATGCTGCAACCCCAAATTTGAATAAGAGGGACAGTAGGTAAAATCTAATTTTAACTGGGAACAGTGATTTGCTAATCATTTGTGTCCTTTATTACATTGAAAACAATACAGCAGCACATTATTTGATGTGATACCTCATCAGTTTTATTTTTTGTTCAAAATTAACACTCACTTCAATTCTGATGCCTTCAACACATTCCAAAAAATGCTGGAGCGGTTGTATTTCAGGGCTAGTAATGAGGTAAAACAATGAAATGATGATTCCATTTGAAATAGGCGATGTCAACAAGGGACTGCATCATGATTTGGTACAAAAGTGGCATCCAGGAAAGGCCGAGCCCTTTCGGAGCAAAGATAGGTAGGTAGGTAGGCAGAACTTTATTGATCCCACAGTGGGGAAATTCCAGTGTTCCAGCAGCAGTAAAGGACAAAACAACATGACACCCTAAGAATAAACACCCCACACATATCTTGAGAAAACAAGATCCAGGTACCTGAAAAATCAAACAAAAATATAATATTTCAGAGACAATCAAGAACAAGAATAGACTTCCCACAGTTTGTCCCTGAGACACAAGTCAAAAAAAGATACCTAGGAACAAGACAAAAAAGAATAGTATTGAGAGGAATCAAGAAAACAACCAGGAAATCAAGAACAATCAAATATTACTCTCACAATTAATCCCACAATGGGGGAAAGAAACCTTTGATCATAAGGATATCTGAGGAAGTAATCAAAAATACCTAAAGCTTGGGCAATGTACAGTATTTGAGAGATCAGGAACAAGATATTACACATGAGCCTATTTAAAATGCAATTTCACCCCCAGGAGCTGAATATTGCACCTCCGTCGACTATTGCATAATCCCTCATAATTTCACCAAGTTTATCACTGCAGTGATGTGTTGTACAGTCTGATGGCCGTGGGGAGGAATGACCTGCGGTAACATTCCTTGTTCCTTCTTACACTGGGGATGTAACAGTCTCGTACTAAAAGAACTGTTCAGAGCCTCTACCATGTGGTGCAGGGGATTGGGGTGGGGGGGTGGTTTTTAGTATCGCCAGCATCCTTCTGTCCGCCACCTCCTCAATGAAATCCAGAGAGCAGTCCAGGACAGAACCAGCTCTCTTAACCAGCTTGTTGAGTCTCTTTCTGTCCCTGACCATGCTACCTTGGGGTGGCTGTGGCTTACGAGGTAGGGCAGTTGTCCTCTGACCAGTAAGTTGGTGGTTCAACTCCTGGTCACCCTGCATGCCTAAGTGTCCCTAAGCAAGACATTGAACCCCAAATTGCTCCCGGTGGTTCAGCTGTCGCCAGTGCGTGGCAACCTCTTGTCATCGGTGTGTGAATGGGTGATTGTGTATGATCTCCTGTAAAGCGCTGTGAAATATGTGCTATATAAATACAGTCCATTTACCTCCTGCCCAACCCACAACAGCGTAGAAAACTGCAGATGCCACCACAGAATCATAAAATGCCCGAAGCGGTGCCCCGAGCACACCAAAGGACCTCAGTCTCCTCAAGTGGAGGCGGCTCTGGCCCTTCCTGTACAGGGCATTTGTGTTGTTGGTCCAATCCAGTTTATTGTTGAGGTGGACACCCAGGTATTTAAAGGTGTCCACAATCTCAATATCTGAGCCCTGCAAACTCACCAGCGTGACTGCTGGTGATTTCCGCCGGGGGTCAAGCACCATCTCTTTTGTCTTGCTGGTGTTCAGGACCTGGTGGTTTCTCTCACACCACTCCACAAAGTCAGTAACAACCCCCCTGTATTCCCACTCGTCCCCCCCAGATACACATCCAACAATAGCAGTGCCGTCTGAGAACTTTTGTAGATGACACTGGTGGGAGTTGTACTTGAAGTCCGACGTGTAGAGGATGAACAGAAAGGGGGAAAGCACCGTCCCCTGGAGCACCCCTGTGCTGCAGACTACCACATCTGACACACAGTCCCACAGCCTTACGAACTGAGGTCTGTTTGTGAGGTAGTTAATGATCCATTCAGACAGGTGTTGGTCCACACCTGCCCCCTCCAACTTCCCCCTCAGCAGTGACCACTGGATTGTGTTGAAAGCACTGGAGAAGTCAAAGAACATGACCCTCACAATACTTCCAGGGGACTCCAGGTGAGATAGGGCTCGATGCAGCATGTAGATAATGGCGTCATCAAACCCAATGCCAGGTCGATATGCAAGCTGCAGCAGAACCAGTGCTGAGTTCACTTGGGCACGGATGTGGCCGAGGACAATCCTCTCCATGGTCTTCATCAGGTGGGAGGTCAGGGCAACGGGTCTGTAATGGTTCTTTTTTTTAGAAAGAATGGACACCATGTGTCCTGGACCAAAGATGAAAATGACCAACCAGACTGTTTCCAGCAATAAGTCCAAAAGCCAGGGTCTTGCATGGTCTGGGGTTGTGTCAGTGCCCTTGGAAATGGTAACTTACAATTCTGTGATGGTGCCATTAATGCTGAACAATAAACAGATTTTGGAGCAATGTGTGCTGCCTTCAAGATGATATACAGTATGTTCCAGGGACGCCCATGCATATTTCAACAAGACGGTGCAAAACTCATACTGCACATTACCAAGGCCTGGCTGCAGAGGAAAAGGGTGTGAGTGCTGGATTGGCCTGTCTGCAGTGCCAACCTGTCCCCAGTAGAGAACGTGTGGTGCATTTTGAAACGCAAATTGCATCAACTTAGACCCAGGACTGTTGCACACCTTAAGTCAAGTCAAAGTCAAAGTGTTTTTTTGTCATATGCACAGTTAGGAAACGTGTTTCCCTGTACAATGAAATTCTTATTTTGCCGTCCACATGAATGCCACAAAATACAAATGAAATATAAAGTAGATAAATAAGTAAGACAAAATCTAAGGCACTTTAAGCAGCAATGCAGCAGTATAATAAAAATATATAAGAATGTAATAAGAGAGTGTATGCTGTATGGGAGCAGCATGTGCAGCAGTCAACAGTCAATGTGCAATTATGCATCTGCAAACTGAGAATGTAAAGAGTGCAGGTCGACAGTACATGACATATTTCCTGGTAACAAACTCCTCAGCTGTTTAGGAGTCTGATGGCAGAGGGAAAGAAAGAGTTTTTCAGCTTAGAGGTCCTACACTTCACACTTCTGAACCTCCGGCCAGAGGGTAGGGAGGT